TCACCCTTGGATTCCGGGTTTGTGTAGTGATTTTCGTATATTTTAGGAAATGATTAGATGAGACTATAATTTATGGACGATTTTAGAGCGATGCTAAAAAGACCTTCAGGATGTCCACCTACATACTACTGCTAGGTGGGGTTTATAAATCAATGTAATGAATTAGGATTGATATTTACAGTTGGTAGTCAGCGTTGGGAATTAGATATCGGGTTTCCATCACGAACTGACATAAGCTATAATGTCGAAACTACTTATCCAAATGAATGAATTAATTTCGCGCCGAAATCCAAAACCTGTTAACGTAAATCTAATTGGTTCATCCATAAATTATAGTCTCGCTCTATTTATAATGACTCATTATATAGACACGATGGCGTGTACTCAGCTGAGTTACCTACTGTACGAGGACGTGTCACTTGTCCGTGTCCTTTTATCCGTTTTCGCCTCCTCGCCGTATTTGACACAAAATTTGATTTTAGGATCCTCTCTGGTCTTTATTTCCATCTATTGGGATATTATTTTATGCCCTGAGAGACGCTATCCGTTAAGGCTACATTCGGACCATCAGCTTTTAGTCAATATTCAGCCAAATATCTTTCCTGTTCAGTCACATATTACCACACAGTGCTACGAGTGGAATATTATAAAACAACGCCTGAAAAGTTTCGAAAACCCTACAGTGTTATGACCGACATCAACAATTGACCGCATACCTTTATCTAGTTTTACTACATTGTAACTTGCGAAATAAAAGTTGTGTTTGGTAGGCTTAACCGCTTCTGACATGTTTTACGTACGGCGTTTATAAATATTCGGAAGGATATATCGACGTTTCATATCACATGAACCTCCTGGTTCTGTACTTTCACTGGGTTGAGCAAGTTTGTTACATTTTGGCAGTTCTTAAAATTTGTAACCATTAAATACTAGGTTGTTTTTATAAAGTGGTTGACATATCTCATTTAAAAATGAGGATCTAGATAGTGAAAAAGACAGTCAAATTAGAATTTTACGTTTTGCAGTGGCTTGTTTATGCTCTATTACTTATCCTCATATTATGATTAACTACTGAATATGTGTAGTTACCCAACAATATAATGTTCAATCTCATCAATTTTCTCATAAACCGACGACATATTATTGTCAACTCTCAAGTCTTAAGTTTACATACCGAAAACTAATGTTTTAAATGAGTAAATGTGTGTGTTCATCCGCAATATTCTTATTCGTAGTAATGAGAAAAACGTATGGGGTATATATTATGTAAATTTGGTGCTCACATTTTTATGCAAGGAAGGCATGTCAGTGTATATGTATGTGCAGTTATATTTATGCTTATACGCTTTGAACCTTGGTAGTCGTTGCCTAATAAAATGAACAATATTGACTGATGTAGGAGTAAATAAAAAAAGACTAGCAGTAAAAAGATCAAGATAAAGCACTAACCTATACGGTTGTTGATCGTTGGTCGAGAGTGGGGAGAGTCTGCTCTCCCTCTCGAAATGCTCTCACATGGCCACGTGTATATAGCCTCTGCCAAGGAAGTCCTAATCACTGCCTTCTCGTGGCGGGGTTGTTGTTCACAAAAGTGAGAGGACGAAAAGCGAATGTCCGGCGCTTTAACCGGGTTGTTGGATGTGGAGGATCCACCTAGGGGAGTCGGAAAACCCTGATTCCAAACCAATAGTGCACATGGGCTCCAGCATCCTGAAGGAATGAATGGACCTGTTGTTGGTCACCGGCTACCATGAGACTGCATCTTCTCACGATGCTCCACTGCCTTGTGGACTAGACCTTTAGGTCTTTGGCTCGGGGCGTGGCCCCCTAAGAAAACCACCTGCTTCGGTCTGGGCACCCGGGCAGTATCATAGCCCTCTCACAAATCAAATTTCTGTGGTGCATATATATTCGGTGCCCCTTTGTACCAATATTTATGTGTTTAATCAATACTACTGATACTGGCTTGTGCAAAGATGGTTAGTGACAGTCTATAATTTTGTGTTTTAGGCTATTTTTTCTATCCACAGCGTCTTAATAATTTTGCTTGGAATGAGCACAGAGAGATGAGAGTAGCATTGGTATTTCTTCAAATCCAGATTCGGTTGGGAAAACAGTCAGTAGGACTAGGCACATTTATGCATCGGTCCAAGTTGCCATACCTCGTTAGCACAACAGGATGAAAACAATCTTCACTAACTCACAACCACATCAAGTACATCGATATGAACAACGGTATATTTTCTTGTCTTTGATAGCTGAATGCGCGAAACAAGATAGTGATCACTTTGCTTGATGATATATCCACAATTGTTGCAGTTTGCTTTATAGATCAAGTTGAGCTGTTTTGTTACTGTATTGAGTTAGGTATAGTTTAAAGAAACTTTGCTGATAAGTAAGCTACACTTGTTTACCAAGTCTTCAATAAAAAACGATTAGACGGCCTGTTGTTCAACATTTACGCATTTCTCCTGGTAAGGAATCATCGGTGAATTTAACAAATAACCAGATGGTTTATCTTAACCATCGTTAACAGGTCAAAATTCTATTATCCTTGCTACCGTCATATCGTACACATAAGAATCAAAACTGCAATGGTAACACTGGTTTTTGTCATTATTTCCGTGGAATCTTCAACTAAATATCTGAAAAAAATTATTCAGAGAGCGAACTGTATGTACACTAAGACCAGAAAAGGGAATAATTCTCTCCTGGTTCTCTTTTATACATTCCATTAATTTTAAGTAGTGATTCATTTTCACTCTGTTTCGCAATTTAAGAATGATCGTATGTTACTAATTTCCACTCTTCATCTATCCCGTTACCAATTAATATTAGTGATATGGGTATTTTACGTGTTCATCTTATTACAGATAAACGAAGTAAAGGAACTGAATTAAAGTTAATTTTGTCTACACTTGGGAAAAACATTAATCCTAATGTCTTTTGAAGTGTTGAAAACGAAAGAATGACAAAATCGTAGTGTTTACCGTGCAGCAAATAGGGATCAGAATAAATCTTCAAGATTCTTGATAGACATGATGTAACAGTCATTTTCCATCCTCGTGATATCAACATGTCAGCACTGGTGACATTTAAGTGTAGGTTGCTAAGAGAATAACAACAAGACTATGAGCATGAAATTAGGCGTTATGGGTGTATTTCAGTATATGTGGGAAAAACACTCAAATGGCTGAATGTGAGGTCAAAGAGACAGATTACGCGGATCACTAGTGTAGGTGATTTATTCGAATGATCAGGGTCTATTTGAATTGGACGGGAATGATGTGAGATTCTCGCCTACGTTGAAATCACACCTTGTGGTAAATACCGACGTGAATTATTTTGCGGTGATAAACAGACAAATTGGTTTCCTGGCTAAAGTAAATCTGTCAGAGTAAATTTACGATTAATTGATCACTGGATAGTGACTATTGTCATGTACTTAAGTCCTTTTTAATGTGGATAGAAATCTGCCGACTAAGTTTCGATGTGGTCACTAGTCTCGGCGATTCGATATCGCGTGCGCTATTTTGAGATGTAAGGTAGTGGTTGGAGGTAGTCGGTTGGAAGCCCTGTACCTGGACTTCGTGCTATTCGGTGGTCGTCAGCAAGATTTGCCTGCAATCTGGATGGAACTGGTGTTCATTGACGGGTTCGGTCCCATGTTACCCGGCTTCTCAACCATAAGCGTTAACAGTGAGCTATCCGGGCCGCGACTGACCTCCAGTAGGACCGAGATTTATTTAAAATTGACTGGTTAGCCACCAATGTCAGGTATTTTAGGCTTTTAGAATCAATAATCCCAACTTCTAACAGCATATTTTGGTGTGCAGTCTAGAACCTTCGAATTTAGGAGGAGGGACTTCACATTATAATTTCACAGTTTAATTGTAAGCGTTTACTAATTACATAAGATTCGATAGGTCGCGACATCTGTTGTCATCAGTAAGTACGCACCTCAACCTTCTACCTCATTGACCACGTCAGTCAAGAATTTTCAAAAGATCTCTCGGAATTAATTTCATATCCCATACTGCTCAGCATAGCAATAAATTTGAAGACTGATATTTGTAAATACGTCAAAACATGGGATCGATCTCCTCAGTCGTTTGCTCGTTCTCCGAGCTTGTAAGGATCGCAGACACCAAGTAATATAAATTGTAAGCAATGCCTATTGATGTAAATGCATTTAATATTTTTTTCATTCAAAATGTTAAATTGGCCGATAAATCCCATAAAATTCATCAGTGTTTTGTTCTTCTTTTCTTCTGAATACTTTTAAAATTATTTTTTCGGACTTTCCATTGCTATTGGTGTTACTGTTTTCCCCATCTTTGTTTTTCCTCAACATTCTGATTTCAACTTTGAAAAATTGTGCCGACACACGGTTTCGTGAGGTTTCACATCGTTTATATCTAATTATCTTTTAGTGGTCAGTAGATTACTATTTGATTTGCAAATCATTGATCAAATGCTACCCGACCGTTGTTAATAACTTGGCGTTGTGGTCGGGCTTGCCTATCGTGATGAACCAATCGAGCTATACTGGCTGGAACAATCCCTCCTCAAGGTCCCACCATGCTAGACAGGTCGGTTGAAGAGCGGTAAGACTAAAAGCAGCAAACCAAAGGTCCGAAGGCGAAGTCGTACTGCCGACTGTACAGAGGTGTGACGGCAGTAAGGTGTTTCCTTCAGACAACCAGCATAACAGCGATGCTACCTTCCCACAAGGAGGGGTGAGGTTAGAAAAGGTCGACCCTAAAAATGCACACCTCGCCTTATCCCACGGACATCCGTCTCCGGCGGTAAGGTCCAAACGAGTACGGAGCTAACACAAAAATTACCCACAACAAGGTCCTGTGTGACCGACCTCAAGCAGTTGTCCCTTGGGCACTGCGGTCACGCTCTCAGGTCACTGAGACCACTTCTAACCCAATTTTCTTTTTCAGGCACGTCTATAAGAACCCTTCCACGGTGTGAGCAACCAAGGAGTGACAACTGCCCTCATACCTCTAACAGCATTCATGATCAAATGCTAAGTCACCCTTCACTGTGGTCTTGTGGTTAAGTAGCGGTAGGAATTAAGTCAAGTTGGGAAGTTCTAACGATCGGATTTTGATTTGGTAGCTATTTGGTATCATATGCGTTTCAAAGGTTTGAAGGCTACTTATTTGGCCTTGGGTGTGGGGAATCATTCATAGATCCTTTAGTTGATATCAACCTGTGATAAGAGCACTGATTGGCTACTTTTTCAAAAGCATTTACATTCACACTGAGTCTATCAGTACTATAACTTAATGAGTCACAATATTTCTCATCATAGTTGTTTATTAATACAAAATGCTTAACTGTGAAGTTGACAGAATAGTTAGGTCGCTTCAAACGTACGTTACCAATATAATTCTATTGTCCCTATTCTTCAGCGGGAATGTAAAGCATGTGAAAATTAACTTTGATGAAAAATCATAACTAATGAATACAACAGAAATAAATAGTTTACAAGTACTGACAACTGTGAGCTTGGTTTACGGTTACCGAAATACAGGTTCTTAGTCTGTGAAAAAGACGATTTAAAATCTACTTTACAATTAAAAATATAAATCGAATTGACCACTATATTAGGTAAACTGATCCGTCGTGGTGATTTAAAAAAAGTTGAGTATTGCCGAGGAAAAAACCTGAGGAAATATCGCTTATTAATAAGTAGTGTGCAACTGTTTGATATCAAAGTAATCAAACAACCCCTGGCTTTCATTTCTCTTCCTTTAAACATCACTTTATTTTTGTTTTAAATGATATGGGATACTTTTGATTGGTGGGACGAACAAATTAGTCATTTTGCATATTCTGGATGCTAACTTATTAAACAAAGGCTTAGTAACCCATTCCATCCTCCGTAGCTAACCTTATTTTCAGAGACTATGACGTATCCTGATGTCTTTTTGCGTTTCTAGCTATAATCTATAAATTCACTGGATTCTTTAGGCTGACTTACGTTTGAGTGTTTGATTAACTCCAATAATTTGAAAGTTATGCACGTTTTAACTACGGGTAACATAATTAATGGTCAGAGACACGTTATTACATTTAAACAGTTCTCAATTTTTTACAATCATGATTTAATGGAGCCATATAAAAATTTCGTGGATCGTTCTACTTACGTCATCATGTTGTTGGTAGGTATTTGTCATTTACGCCGATATTTTTCTATTTCCGTTTTAAATGCACTGGTTTGTTCTTCAAGTTGGTTAGCTAGTTCTTCTGCTTCCTTTCTCCATTGTGACGTTAACTAAGTAATGATCATAATAAATGTATTTGACTATTCTTTCAAATATTATCAAACTATAAACAGTATGCCAAAACTTAACTATACTGATCAGAAATTACTGAGAATAGTTGGATCCCAAGAACGTCTGTTTTGGTAGTTAGTATCTCACGTTTCTGATGAGACTTGGAATAAAATTATTATTAACTAATTTTATTTCTACAGCCTTCAAGGATTATTTTCTTACAGTAGTTTCCTTTTGATATGTTACCTTACCTTTATTTCCTAGGATATCGCAAATATATGTACACGTAATAGATGCTTTTCTATCCTACCAACGTGTAAACTCAGTAAAGTTTGACGTAAATACTTGAGTTTTTTCTCCAAATTATTTAGAGTTACGTTATTCAGAGTGAGAAAGCTGCTTACTTTTGCTGTTCAGAGTTGTCAGTCTTGTCACTAATGTGCGTCGGAAATATTCTGAAGGTCATACTACTGAACCCAACTGTAGGTTCTATCTTGATATAGCGGTCAGGCTTGCATATCGTAATGAACGGATCGAGGTATATTGGATGGAATACTAGTTCCTTTAGGTCCTACCATGTAAGACGATTCGGTTGAAGAGCGATAAGACTAAAAGCAGATGTTTCGTAGTCCGAAGGCGAAGTCATACTACTGACTGTGGTGGAGTATAGTAACAGTTTCCTCTAAAGAAGCAGTATCTTTAGCGATACTCCCTCCATATAGTGAAGCGACTAAGTTGGAAAACGCCAATGCTAAAACTACCAGTACTCGAGATCACTTGGTATTAGTACCTTATGAAACATGTCTTGTTGAGTGTTTTCTAAATTAAACTTTTCAATTTAAATGTGCAAAATAACTATCATATCCCCCACTTTGTGGAGAGTGGGTTACGATTAGACTAAAAAAATTGCTTATCTTCCGGGTTTTTTTAATAATAGAAAATTATCAACTAGATTAGGAAAATGATGTGTCCGGAAGGTATTAATATTAAGCAAATTACTTGGTAGTTCCTTTAGTGCGACATACTTTAGATACATTTTACAATGAATTCTAATGATTGAATACTTACTGTTTTTTAACAAATATGTTCAAAGGCTCAGGAAACATTTTGTTCAATCAGCGTTCACTAGAAGTTTTGCCAGAAACATCACAAAAGTGAAAAGTCACATGTAGAGTTTCTAATTGGCTGATTACTTTGCTGCTACTATGTTTAGTAGCATTCCAGAGTTTTCGGGAAAACTTAAGGACTTCTAAAATGCTATAAAAACCCTGTATTTTCTGTACATAAATGAACCTTTGGAGTAAAGTGCTTCTCGCGTATTCTGTGTCTTTTCTCTCGTATTCAAGTGGCTGTGTATATTTAGCTTGGGGGTTAAGAAAATAGCTTAGGAACGGATTATAGCATTCAATTAGCAAGATTTATCAAAAACAACTATTATTCACTTACTATTTGTTGCTTATTTAACAGATTACGCCAATTTTCATCTGTTAATTTGTTTACTTTCTCAAGTGTTTCGATCTTTAATTTATACTCAACTTCTTGCATTTTCATTGACTGTTTTATTGACGTTATTTGAACTTGTGCACTTTTTTGCACAGCTTCTAACTGTTGTTTAAGACTATTCAATTGAAGTTCAGAATTGAACAAAACTTCACTTTGTTTATTATAATGGTTTTCTTTTTTTTGCCGTTGTAATTCAGTATATTCAAAACGTTCCGCAAGAAATTTGTTCTAAAACAACAAAGTAATTATATATGAATCATGATTTTAATGAATTCAGTTCGAACCAAAACACCAACATTGGTATCGATACCTACAAACTAAATGAACATTTCTGTGGGAGATTTAGAAATGTGTTGATGATTATTATTAATTAGGTATTGTAATTCTTTTTACATGAAAATGAATGACTAACTATTGTAAAGTTTTGAAATATAATTTTCAGAGCAATACATATAACAATGAACATATGAGTGCCATGCAAATTATTATCGCTAAAAGTTGAAGATCAGCTAGGCATTCCATCGAGGAGGATTTATGCAGCATTTGATAACGACTCTGAGATAGTAGAGAAGCTCCACAACCAAATCATCCAGCTCAGAGAACAAAACTCCATTAAAATAACGACTCTTGAAATTAAATACAATATCCATAAACAACTTGATGGGCAGATTGAATTTCGAAAAATCTGACTTGGTCTAATTTGTTTGTTTTGAGTTATAACATATGTTAACAGTATCAAAGGGACTCAAACAAAACTAAGTGCTGTCCATAATCACAAGCCTTATACTCAGATGTACTTCAGTAATTTACAGGAACTTACGTCCATACATAGATGGATAGGTTCATAGAAATTATGTGATAGATATATCAAAGATATTACACATAGATTATTCATGTAACTGTCTCAGTAGCTGAAATCAAACATTGTCAAGATTCCTCTTGTTTTAAAAAGAAATAATATGTGGTTAATATACTCTGACATTCGTTCAAGTTTTTATGTTTACCAAGTTTAACTTGTTAGGAACGATAGTTACCTTTTCATTTAATTGTTCAATTTCCATTCGTTTAGATGCAACTAATTTTTCTTTGTTGTTACATTCAGTTTCCAATCTTAACTTCAATTCATCGCATAAACTCTCAGCGTGTATAGCACGTTTTTTAAAAGTATCCAACTGACAATCCGGTTTCAAATCTCCTGGAGCAGTATTTGCATTAAGAGCAGATTTACATTCACTATTTATATCATTGATATGATGACCAAGATTGTTTGTTTTATGAAATTCTAATTGAATGGCCAATTGACAACGTTCCTATACATTAGAAAAAATTACTGAATGATAATGACGATGTTAATAATCAACTTGATGATTACAATGCAGTTGCTTAGTTTATACCGCTAGTGAATATAGTACAATTCAAGCTTAAATCACCTTTCATATAACAATCAATCTCAGTTTTTAGGAAGCCAAATGAACTTTTATTTCTTTATATCACGTGAAGTAGCTGTCTACTGAAAGTTACATCGAGCTCACGGGACCGGGGTAAACGAATAAGAGAGCAATCTTAGATTAACTTGAAACTATGTTTTAAAAGTTAAAATAACTTCATATCTACCAGTATAGTTTGTTCGCTTGAAAAGGGAACTTTATGAAAAAAACAAAATGTAAGAATAGGTTGGTTATCTCGAAATGTAATTAATTATTTGATGAACATCGATTGATTTTCGGTTAAAGAACACCTTAAAATAAAACTAGACATCATTTAGACTTTGACGAATGTTTGTATCATGGATTTTGTAGGCATTACCTCGTGTCGTCTTTATTTGGATTAATGTATTACAAACTGCAATATTTCGTAGAGCATACGTATTATTCCATCACTTAATTGCTAGTGTAAATTAATGACAATTTGAAGATAATTAACAGGGAAAACTGACTTTAACTGGTGAACTATTAAAAACCTGGAAACATTGAGTTGCCGCTTTGTATGGGACTCCTTAGTAGAAATAATCATTTATAATCTTGTCGAGTATAGAATCCAGTATATTCAGCTTTTGCCGTGAGTCCACTGAAGTCCGTAACTAATAGTTGAGATTTTCAAACATCAGTCAGTTCGTAAAACTGAGTGTCCTACAACACTGGGTTCGATTTTTGAAAGGACTACCGATAAACATTACCAATGATACCAAGCCTAAAAGAAACGGGTTTTCAGCTCTACTTCATCTTCAATGCTTTTCTAACTGACATAAGTTCGTGACTAAATATATAGATATATATAATCTACACTAAATTATTTGAATGTAATGTCACTTGCAGTTTACCTTCTCAATATGGTGCAGTTCACTTAGTAAATTTTCAATATTTTCATTAGCTTTCTTTTCTATTTTATCTATTTCTTCCCTTGTACGTTGACCAGATTCTTCAGTTAATTTATCAATGACAAGTTGGAGTTGCGAAAGTTCATTTTCTGCATTTTCTCTACTTTGTATTGCATCATCACGCTCGTTAGTTAATGTTTGACTTAAAGATATTAATTCTGCAACCTGTGATACAAAAAATGTTTGTACAATTTTCTCTAAATAATATATTATGCTAATCATACTTTGTCCACATAACTGTCCCTAGTTGACTTAAAATTTCATCGAACTGGAATTTCAAAAAATAATGATTGAAATTCCTATCGAAAATCTTGGTCGTGAAAAAGACTAGTAACATCTGGGCTACTGATATGGTTCTTTACCAACCCATCTTTCCTAACTTTTGGTAGTTGAGCCTCACGCAGTTTAATTATCATTTGTTGAGTCTATTTGCTATACAAATAAAAAGTAGAAATAATGGTACTTCATCATGTTAGCCGCTTTCATTTTTGAATGATTATTAACTGAGTGAAGTGCGTTAAAAAGTGCCTACAATTTGATTGACATTATTTGGATCAATACTCAATCACATTGGAAATGAAATCAAGTTAAAAGCTACCCTTTCTAGATATACTAATTACCACAAAGTTAGAAACTCAAAAACTAATACATATAGACCGAGTCTTGTATTACGCTATCGATAATGCACCGACTCGCAAAACCAGTTGTGTACTTATTGTATTGTACTTATTTTATTTAGAAAAAAGGAGGCGCACTATGCTATTCGTCTTTTATGGAGAAAGTGAGAGAAACGGATGTCTGGCAGCTGTTTTCTCTTGAAAAAAGAACTACCCATAAATTTACCAAAATATTCCTATTAAGCTCACAATGAGTTACAAAGTCTCGTGTACATGGTAGTGGTCAAATCACTATTCTGTACGAAAAACTCATGAAGGATTGCAATTAAATAACTGAGCTTTATACAGTAACGAAATAATTGCAGCATGTATTATAGAAGACTTAGATACAATAACAGAGAAAAGAAGCAAGACTTGATCTAGTCTTGTGTGTAGAATCGTGGATACACTTTGCTGAGGAGTCCTTTAGTTAAACGAAACGGCCGTCCAGTGCTTCCAGATTTACAATAAAGGTCTAGCCTAGAGTTACTCGTGAATTCAACAGTTGAGAACTCGATCTATTAAAGAAACTCCTATTACTGCAGAGAACGCGACGGCGAATAAATTATTTCCTTTTTATTACCCAATAAATAGAATGTCAGCTTAATTTAGCTTGGGAAATCACTGTAGGATTGTGTTTTTGAAATTTTATTTCTTTGGCCCTACAAAATATTCCTTCAGTACTATAAACCGAAGTGATTTTATCTATTCTTAGTTTATGGTCAATATTATCTCCAAACAATTACTTTAGTAAGCTTAATTAGGTTTGTAGTGTTGTTCTTGTAAAGAGAATAATACTTAGCGATTTCATTTGTAATAAGTAACCCATGGATTAATTATGAGACTACCTACTTAAGAGCAGACGGCCGTTTAATGGGTGCAAATAAAAAAGATGGATGGTAAATATAATTTGAATTTTTCAGTTTTTGTATTGAAAAGTGGTACAGAAAACGATGTTCGTTTAGTGAAAGTAATAAAGTAGTCAGTGTTATTCAATGTAAGCTGACTTTTCATAGTATGCTTCATAACTTTTATCTATCATTAACCGTTGTTCATTTATTGATATTACCGCCTACCTTATGTAGCGCATCCTCAGTTAGTTGATTGGATCCATTGTATTGTTTTTGAAGTATAGAATACTTGTGTCGTAATTCACCAAGTGATTTAATGGCACTTTCCCCACGTCTACAAATCTCAATTAATTCTCTCTAAAAATATAATAAAATTCCAGTTCAGTTGAACGTATAATTTTTCGCATATACAGCTTTATTTGTAAATATTAAAAGTATAGAATATGTTCGAGTAAATACCTTTATAAGTGACATCTACCTTCTGATTAAAATGAACTGCACAGTATCTCAGTTTAGTTCCATGAAAGAAGTGTGGTCAACCGCCTAGTCTTTAAAATTCTTTTTCAAGGTTTTACTAGAGTAGTCAAATATTCCAAGCAGAAAAAATGTACATTTCATCCTTGATACTGATCAATAATGAAAAACAAAGATCTTATTTACTTTTAATAAACCAGATGATTTCCATCTCTATTTTGATATTTGTAATGGTGTTACAGAAATCACCAATCATTTCTATGAGAGTTCCAATCAATCTGTATTCTTATCAAACTATCAACAACGTGATTCTCATAAATATGAGTATTAACAATCTGAATGGTACCCTGAAGTTTAAGGTGACGAGTTTTTGATTCGTGTTTCAGTGTGAACATCATAACTGAGATGCAAAACATCAACATAACAAGTTTCAAGTAGAATGAAGTGTACGTTCTGGGTTCAACATCTAATCACTATCTAATATGTGACTAGTCACGCAATAAACTTCCACTTTTTTTTTGTTTTACTCTTCCTAGTTGTAGCCAATAAAAAAGCTACCTATTGGATAGTAAAGTAAATAGAACAATACAAACAATTAAAACCGATAAAAATCAGTCACTTCAAGTGGGTTGATTAATTAGTTGTAGATGAGTAACTTATCAGTTTTTTATAGCTAATTTAATACCTAGTAGATAATAAGTTCAACAATCCAAGCTTTGAAAAACACTCATAGTTTTTAAATTGTAGATGATACGTTTATTAGTACTAGATGTAATTGTTAACGTGAAAATGTAAACAATCGAGTTGAGAACAATTTCTCACATAGCTTGGTTATTTGTATTAACTTGGATCGTAGATTCGTCTGCAGTCAATATATTGTTAGTCTGTAGGTGTATAAACTTCGTTAATGTGATCACTCTATCTCTAACATTGCTTATTATTGTCAATATCGCGTAGCAAACTGAATATATAATGATATAATCCCTGAATCCTATTTGGCATCAACATTAAATGTTTAGAAATTCATAGGGACGTTTACGACTAGCTTTACACAAGATTCCTTTTGTTTTACGCGATTTCAAACGTAAAGCTTCACATACGTAGTAACATGAAGGCAAATATTTTCTGACCCTTAATCGTGAAATAGCATAAGAGTGTATGAAGGTAGAGTAGAAGATATTTACCATATTAAGTGTCCTTCAAACTGGTGATAAATATATTTTGCATCAGTATCAATCATTCTGAAAGATAAATACTCGATAACTCTTATTTTTGTCTTAAAGTGAATCAACTGCAGAGTGTCCACATTTCTAAATAAAGATTGCAGACAATTGGTTTTTTATGCAAGTGTTTAGACGAGTGGTAGCTTACTACGTAACAGCGACTAAATTAAAATTATAAGTCCGGGATAAATTACATAATGTAAGAATGTTTTGCAAGTTATGAATGCTTTCAGTCTGATGTAATAATCCTCCGGTTTAAGTTGATTCTATGATATCTTTATCACAAGGTAATATCAGTCAAACAGACACTGAAAAATAGGGAAGGGCTGTATGGATGATTCTTTATGGACTGAGACTCAGCAACGTAAAGTTAAGAACGTACAGGGATCAGAAACGAGGTCCTCAAATCTAGCAACAAGCACAATAGCAATCGGCCAGTGAATCGAAATACAATGACCCACATTTTCCAACTTCAATTAATTTCTTATTCAAAATGATATCGATCCAATATCACCAATGGATTGTTGTTTCACTGCCGACTTAATTAACTCTACAAATTACAGCTCCAACACTCAATGACAGAATATTTTATAATATTATGGATGTCATTCAACATCATAGCCAAAGTCCAATCATTATATATTAACAATACTGGTGTAATTACTGAAAATGGCCGTCAGCAATACTGGGGAGGATTATTACTGTTGGATCTCTTTAGCTAGTACACGTAAAGGTTTATTGAAGTGAACTGACAAGAATCACGTATGATTAACGTTTCATAAAATTAACTCGTTAAATCTATTTGGATTTCTGAATACGTGCTTTGAATCTCAGTACATGAGGTATTTGAATTTTAAGTGCTCCACGTTGTCCTATACTTTACTAACTCTTTCTAAATTGAAGATTTGCGTAAATTTCCGCCATACGTTTTTTGTAATTGACAAAATAATGGCTTTTTGTGTCGACTTGACATTCATTATTTCAAAAAATTAAACTATAAAACAAATTACTTTGAATTCATTAGCTGTCTCTCGTAACTTTCCAAAACCAATCAGTTCATTGTAGCGTACTTTCTCTGAATTCAACTGCGGTATGTTTTGTTCGGTGAACGATGATAAACTGCATGAATAAATTTCAACGAAGTTCAAAGAATATATAATTTTTACTTAATTAAATGATGAATAGTAAAGATAGCGTTGAAAATTAGACCCGAAAACTGAACAGCAGCCTCAAAATACTAAACCCGGATGGTTCAGTCTTCCGGTTTACGGAGAAAGAGAGAAGTTATATGCTGTTATTGATAACTTTCGTAATTAAAAACCAGGAGTTAGAGCCCAATATTTTTCATATCAGGTTTGATCGACTAGATTTATTATACCAGTGTTTCTACTCTGTATCTACAAACAACAAAAGCAAGTGCCTATTCATTTTTCCATATGAGGTTAAGAACAGGGCATTCCACTACTGTAGACGACGGTGATTTGTGACGAACGTTAGTTAATACACATATACTGTAATCTTACAAGGTTTCTGTTTTCACTAATTAGTCCATACAATAAATATTTCCCAAAGTTTTAGTGAAGTCAACCAGTGAAGATACACGGCAGCTATCAACTGATAGCACTTGATGAATGTCACTTTATACATCGAATCGACAACTTGATTCGACTTCAGTGATAAAAAAAATACCATGCACTCTGGAAAACTTCGGTTCTTCAGACCGAACCCCTTTTAGAGTCAGGCTAATGAGCTCCAAACTAGCTAGAAACAGCTTTGTTGTCCTCGTTGACTTTTGATCTTTCTTCAGTTAGTCAGTCAGTGGTAAAAACTGGTCCAAAATTGAACGGACAACTACAGATTATGTGACTAAACATAGTTGAGTTCGTACACAATCACCCACCATTTTAATAGCCTAACTAGAACTACTCCCTGATGTTGCAGGTTATGGATAACTCAATCAAAGGTAGAACTCTTAGTCTGTACGTTAAAATGTGAGATAAATGTACATGTCAATAATATCAAGTGGACAATCGTAATAGAAGTAATATATGGAAAGGAACACTAATAAATTATAGTGATTCACATGAATGTTTTGGGCAGAAAAATCAATCCAATCACTTTGAGCCATTATAAACAAATATATCTCCTTGTGTGATTAGCCGCGTATAATGTTGAAAGTTTTATATTTGCTTATGTCTGTCATCACTTACTCCACTCGTCACCCGTTTTAGCTTGATTTAATCTTTCTAAGTAATGAATCATGATTACTAAAAATGAGTAGGCTGGAAAACCTTCCTCCCATCATACCTATTACGGTATATCTAAATAAAAGATTATATGAAATATTCTTATCCGAAACATTATTCATGTTTGAACTCTTGATATGCCGTTATATATATATATAATCCCCGTTCAGTACTACTGGAGTCAAAAAGGAACGCACGGAAAATATTGCAATTTTTTTCATCAGGAATTGTATATATATAGACCACATAATTATTGAAAGTTAATCTATAAGCACCAGATAAATGACCTGTAACTTTTCACATTTACATTGCCATGGGCCCTCTGCAACCCTTCGTAATACCTAAGTACTAAGATAACAGTAAACATTGTTTTTAAGACCATGAACTTTGAGGCCTTTATCTTTCAACATTATTAATTGAGAGTTCCCTTTTATCAGCCCACATATTACCAAACCATGTTCTGAAAAATCATTTTGAAGTCCCCAAGTTTTTGAAACTATTGAATTAGTCTTCAGTCTTCAGTAATAAGGATAGTAGGTTGATGAACCTGTGTTAGTCCTGACAGATTTCCTTCCAGTGAAGGTCCAGCTTCTTTTTGAAAATGTTCACTGATGGTGCTGATACCACTTGTTCTGATAAAGCGTTCCAATCATTGACCACTCGATGGGAAAAACGGGACCCCACCTTTAGTTTATTAGATCGCGGTTTCAGAACCTTCTTGCTATGACCCCGGAGATTATTAGTGCTGGAGGGAGCAAAAAGATAAGACACATTAACACCCAGATCATAATTAAAGATACGAAATGCCAGTATAAGGTCACCTCGCGTCCTACGATAAGATAAGGGGAAAAGGTTTAGACGTTTTAAACGCTCATCGTAAGGGAGTTTAGAAAGACCCTTTACTAATTTTGTCCCTACACGCTGGACAAGCTCAAGCGATTTAGTATCCTTTATCAGACAAGGGATAGCTGCTTGGATACAGTATTCTAAGTGTGGCCTTACATAGGTGGGATATAAAATTCGAAACATCTCCTCGTCAAAGCATTTAAATGCTCTGCGAAGCGACCATAGCGCGCGATAGCCTTTGAAATCAACCGCATCGCAGTGCGTAGTAGTTTTTAAGTCGTGACTTATAATTACTCCTAAGTCTTTGTGCTCATGAACGCGTGGCAGAGATGTACCATTAATGGTATAATGGTAACTAATATCGTGCCCGATGTGCATGAACACGCTTTTCCTGGAATTAACTTCCAGGCCCCAATCATGAGCCCACCTAACTAATTCGTCTAAATCTGCTTGCAGATAACAACGATCAGTCTCATTTCTTATTGTTCTCCAGATTTTAACATCATCCGCAAACAATAACGTCGACGACTTCAGTAATAAAGGTAGTTCATTAATATACAGAAGGAAAAGTAGAGGGCCTAAGATGGTGCCTTGGGGTACACCACTTTTGACCGGTTTCCATTCGGATAGCGTTCCATTGACCCTTACTCTCTGTCTGCGGTCACATAAGAAGCTTTCTATCCATTCCTGTATAGCACCTGTTATTCCAAAGCTCGAGAGCTTTTGCATAAGACCTAAGTGTGAAACCTTATCAAACGCTTTGCTAAAATCTATGAATATCACGTCGACAGACTGGCCGTTGTCTAGGGCAGCTGTCCAATCCTCTCTCGCAATGAGTAAGTTAGTCAAGCATGAATGCTTGTTACGAAACCCATGTTGCTCGGGAGTTAACAGATTGTACGAATCTATGTGGCTTAGTAGCTTAGCCAATATGGAACGCTTCACGATTTTGCGTGTCATCCTTGCGCAGGGGCCACTTTAGTATATGTACCGCCGAAGCGAGTATGTAAAAAGATTATTTAAAGGGTTAGAGTAAAGGAAAGAAAATAATTATTGCAAAATAGATTCCAAAGTGACAATACATAGTCTGTTTACAAGTAAAAATCCTCACTTTGAATATATTTGTGCTCTCATTTCATTCAAAAAGTTGATTGTAAAGTTTTCACACCGAGACTCAATCTCACTCTTTTCTTGGTGAGCAATATCAGCTACTGTGGATGTCCGATAAAACCTCAGCTCACTTAAGGCACAACTCAACTCTTCTTCAATCCTTGAACGAAGAACTGTTTCATATTTTAGTTCCTATGATGGGTAAACGACCTACAAAACTTACTTCCTTTAAGGAATCTACTTGTTGCTCAAGGTTTTTAATGATATTGAAATTTTCATTAGAAGAAAATTGGTTGTTTTCGGATAGCAACTCATTAGATCTGAATTGCATATCGTTCACTTCCTGCCTCAATTTCTTGATTTCTTTCTATATAAAGTTGAATTAATTGTCGCTTAATAACCTCATTCTCTTTCAAGTTCACTTCAAATCTCGACAAATGAATAGACCTGCCTGGGACGCAGTTCCTCATAATAAAATTGTTGACGCAATTGAAAGTGCAACATGTAACCGTAACTCAACAACATGTACTTAAACCCTATTCAGTAGTGAATAGTTTCATAATAACTGTTTTGTATTTATATAGATACCGAAATAATTTGGACTACAACATCTCTTGGTAAGATCTGTATTTTTTTGGAACATTGAGGTATGTAGTAAAACTGACAAGTACCCCTCTCCAATATGATTATACAACTTATAATTTTTCATGTTGCAGCTTCTTGACTTTTACGATCACAGATGTCATTTTAGGTTGTCCACATTGTTATGCCAGTACGTTTGTAGCTAATTCAGCCTAAGATTCTACAGTGCACATTTTCTATTATTATTATTAACGTCACCGTCCTCTTAGTACAATCGGTCAGGTATATGATGCAACTAAATATTTTGAATGTTTGCGGATAGATAAGCAAAATCTTTCGCTTAAAGAGCCCCCGCACCTAGTGTCCCTGTGTCACCAATGTCTTTAGAGAGACCTAAATAACCTAAACAGACAAAAGGGAAATTTCAGTTAACAATGATGAAAAACTGCCATCAATAATAAAAAATATATCACGTTTACTCATAAAGAGCTAAATGGAAGTGACTTAAATCACCTAAGTTAGTAGCCGATCCTAAGAAGGCGTTACTCGTATATAGTAGAAATATCCCTACAGTAAAGTTTCCAAAGATTTATTGTTCGTTTCTGGGTATTGACTCTAAGGTGTGTATATATTTTTCTATAAAGTATATAATCATACATAAAACTAAATAAAATAGTCCAACAGAGATTCTTTAAACCACTAACCTTTTGTTCATTATATCATATTGCATGTTATTTACTCCATTCGTTTTTTTGCATTTTCCTCTACAGTATGCCAAAGATATTGAAACCGAATCCAAGTCACAAAATAAATTTCTTGATGAAATTCAAGACTCATTCGACAATGCTAGTAATCTTTTGTCAAATACACTTCATCGAGTCCTTGGAATACCAAAAAAGCGTACAAATAATCGGAAATTTATGTGTTATGTCATTTTATTTGTCGTTATTTTTATTTTACTGGTGTATCTCTTTGTTTTTCACAGATATAGTTAGCTAACCATTATCATTGTTGTAATACAGGTCTCGCTTTCTGGATTTTTCCAAGAATTTCTTTGGGTTGTTTTCATTAGTTAAAAAAGAAAGAACTATTGAACTTATCTTCCCCTTCTTGTAATTATTGTAACTTATCATCCTGGGAACTGCCAACTTCCTCAGTAAATTTTATCATTAAAATAATTATGATAAGCATATAGCGTTTGTATTTAATGTTTTGGTTTGTAAAAATGATTTTGTTTTCTACATAATTTTGCTATTTTGTCTACCCCCTCATTTTTTGAGATAGTCTAAATCACTATTCATCACAGTGTTAACTGTTAACTACTGTTTTTCTTCAATGTGTTTTCATTAATCAATTGATAATAAATCTAGTGTCTCTATGATCAACCCTCAATTTTTTCCATTTACAGGCTGCTATTTTTCAATGGAGTAGTGGGATCAGTGGTTGAGGCGTTCTACTTCTAGCCAATCAGTCACAACCTGAGTCCCTGCTTCACTTACATTGGTTTGGGCAACTAAATGGTATCATTAGGCCTTTCAATTGAAGTTTTCCTTGAAACCAAGTACACAAATCTGTACTTAGTAAATAAGTTACCAAAAACTAATATCTACAATAATCTCAAAATACTACTAGTTGAATAAAATAACGCAATAGATAGTTAAATAGGTTTTAAAAGTATATGCAGTTATAAGTCTTAATGTATTACTTATCTCGAGTAACCCTTAATAAGTTACATTTGAGTCAGTAATACCTTTCGCGTGTAAAACACTTCTAATTTTAAGAGATTGGATTGTCCACTTGAGATTAGCAGAGTTCATGTTTAGGATTTCGAACTACTTAACTGTTTAAGCTCGTAACCTCCTACGACCAGGGATGTCAAAATAACTCTCTTCTGGTCTCTACTTTCAAGTTGTTTCTAAATAGTATCCATGGTCCTAGTGTCTCTCTCCAATTCTTGCAGTTATATGCTCTTCTGCCTGCTTCATTTCCCTTCACATTGATGACTCCAATTTCGGTCTTGCTTTGAGATTTAGCCTAATGGTTCGTGCATGGTCTGTTCTATCCACCTCCTGAAGTGGCATCTGGTTCGTTCTATGTCATAGAAAGTTTTTTACTGATGATCTCTGGCCAGGGCACTTGTGTTAATTTATTGACACAGTTCGCAACTTATTAAACGATACGAATACCAATCTCTGCTTATCCTAATGGAGGGTTTTGAAATGGTTACTACGGTCTAATGAATACTGAACGTTTACGCACCCGTGGAATTTCACTTCCTTTATGCAAGGATGAACATTTCGCATTACGGCGAATTATTAAGACACCCTTTCTCAATGCAGAACTTTTCCCATTAGGAGGGTGAAGTATTCAGTTCCCAACATTATTCACTACATAAGATGATGCCTTTGAATCTTAGGGATACCGGAAAACCAACGGGACAGGTCGGGCTTTTTCTTTGATGGTTGATAAAGTGTGCATTACATGTGCTTCACAGCTCTAAACGTTATTTGAAACGTCACCCAACCACTGGGTAGTTCTGTCGGACTGAAGGTAAATCTTTGTTATTCATATCCTCAAGTTACTGCCTAGAGAGAACAGAACTAAAAACTGATAGTTCAGACTAGTTTCATTCCTAAATCTCTGGAAAGAATAGTCATGTAGCCATTCATGACCTTCCTGTAAATACGCCGATGGCTAAACTTGCAAGTGACAGTTAAAAAAGTATGTCATGGGTGAATAACCGAATGATTGGAGTCTGAAAATTATGTTTATATCAAGGACATTCAGAAAATGTTGTATACAACAAATTTATCAGGGCTTCTGATAGGATATCTCGCAAGAGATTCAATAGGAGCTGGAAAAATCAGTAACATCCGAACACTTGGGTTAGGGGCTTTCTTGTGAGTAGCTGTTAAAAAATGTGGAATATTTCCGAAGCTTACTACGAGCAATTAGTACTCACTGGATATATCCAGGGCTTGATGCTAGTGCCTATGTCCTTTGTGTTATCTATCTTCCATCTATCATCAGGCCTCTATTACTGCCTTGCTTTGTTGATGAAAAAATATAGAGACAATTAAGTTTAATTTCCCAAAGAAAAGACCTGATCATCCTGATGAGAGATCTAAATGTCAAGTTCGTAATGGACATTAACACGCATGAAGATATCATGAGACGACATGGACCGGGACAATGAAACGAGAATAATGAGGGTTTGGCACTCTTAAACGCTCTCAAAAAAGGATGAGCGAGAAGAAAGCAACCAATAACAGCCGAATATGAAATATGAAGTCAAGGCACAAGCCGAATGCACAGAAGCGAACAAACAAATGAAGAGAAGTATTAGAGTTAACAAGCAGATATATGTGGAATACTTGGCAATGATAGCGGGAAAAGCTGCGAGAGAAGGTAACATAAAACAACTTTGTGATACAAGGAAGAAACTGGCAGGGAAATATGTAAACCAGAGTGACCGGTCAAGGATAAAGAAGGCAAACCAATCACTGAAATTCAAGAACAGCGGAACAGGTGAACGGTACACTTTGGAGAACTCTTGAGTTTACCAGACCATCTGAACCCACTAGACGTCGAAGCATCACATACAGACCTTCCTATAGATTTCACTCCACCAACAATCGAAATAACCAGCATAGCTGTCGGAAAAATCAAGCGTGAGAAGGCAGCAGGGCCTGAAAATATAACAACCGAAGCACAGAAGCCAGACATAACAGTAGCTTCAAGCATGCTTCGTGCTCTATTCAGGAAAATTTGGGAGCAAGAACATGTGCAAACAAGTCGGATAAAGCGATACCTCACCAAAATATCAAGGGATGGAGATCTAAACGAGTGCATTAACCAATGTAGCGTCACAACTATCGCGGTGTAAGGCAAAGTTGTATCCCGAAGAGAATTGTTAATGGTAACTTTTGAGGACTATTTGTGGACCAATGTAATATGTATATTTCCTATTGTATGATTGTTAAGCAACTAACCTAATCATATTCCTGTTCCTCTTATCATTAGCTTTATTTTGACCTTTGACTTATTATCATACGATTCTTCAGTTATCATCAGTTTATTGATTACTTTCCCCTTTATTCACAGCCACATTTGGCTAAATATTGTAAAAATGTTATTTTCTATTTTATGGTACGACGTGATCTGTTTGCTTGGTATATAAACCCAGTATGTTTGTGAATAATGGTTAACACACAGAGGCTGTTATTGGTGTTTTGGACTTAACTGGTCGGGCTAGGCAGAAGCAGGATTGATACGGTTCGTACGGTTTTCGTGTGTCACTGTTACAATCGATAATTTGCTGCTCTCTGATTGGCGGTCTTATCACGTCACACATTAACTAGGTATCCATTCGGCCACAAGATATAATAGTTTTTGATAGTGTTGTATAAATGAATGAAAGATTCATTAGAGAGTCGAATGCCAGATCAACAACCTAACCTTCTTAAAAATCAAACAATGAAACTTATAGTCATCAGTGTTTCTTAACACTATACTTTCATGGTTCACTTGTAATAGCTTAGGTTGATAAGTTGAGAGTTCACCTCAAACAACCATAGCACTCATTTATTTACTTCCTTATTTCGTATGGGCCTTATATTTACTATTATCTTGTACTGAATGTTGAAGAGCTTTGCGTGTTTGGGCAGTCAACTATCCGCTGCATTGTGACTGTGCTACGATCTACGGTCTAGTTTCTTTAACCAATCGAACGAGGGTTACCTATAGGCACGAAACACTTTCCATTCTAATAAATTGCCTTCATTATCCTAACTTAGACTTGTCTACCATCATTTGAACCTACTCCACCTTCTTGCATATCAAAACTCACTGGTTTTATTACTGTAATCTCATATCTATAGGCCATAACCACGTTCCATTCTAGAGACAGTAGATAATAACTTATCATACCTATCTGTTCCACTACAAGTTGTTAGGCACTGTTGAACGTTTGTACCAAATACCTTGCTGCTCTTGTGTTTTTTTCCCA